GAAAGCAAGCGTGTGCTGCAATTTGCATAATAGCACTGTTTAATTAGACACGCTGTGCCCATTAGAACGTTGCTTCCTTACACACTTCCTGGGTCACCGCTGGGCATGTGGTGCCTTTGCAGAGTCCTTCTCAAGACCACTAAGTATATAGAGTCTCAGGTATTCCAGGACATAACCTGAATGGCGTTCTAATGACTCCGTGGGGCTGGGGAGTCAATAAGCATATTGCGCTCTTCCCACTCTACCAATAGCTGGTATGGTGTTGGGCGCACTACGCACATAGAACTGCTGCCTTTCAGATGAGATGTAAAAGGTCCCAAGCGATGGAACGTTATCTCACACCTTCTCATATGTCGCTGTAATGTGCAGCACATCTTAAAAGATAGATAGTCTAGTGCCTACTGTCGCCGTTGCAGGGGTGACTGCACATGTATTCCTCCTCCGTGGTCCCTTGAGGGCACCCAGTCAAGGTTTCAGGTTCCCAGCCACCATCTCTCTTGGGTGGAGACTTTCATCTCTCTCTCTCCTGACCAGGGCTTTTAAGTCTGCACAACTCCTGCCATACATTGATATTCCCAGCAAGCCAGTCAGCCCATAAGCCAGCCCCTACGTGGTGCTTTCTCCCCAAGGACAATGGCAGTATTTTCACCAGTGATCACACAGCTCTTCCAAAGCAAAGTACATTTATTCTCAAGGCAAAAGCATTACAGTGAAAACATATACAAAACAATAAAGAGATTTAAACATACCAGAAATCACCCATCGGTCTTATAAAAAGCAACAGAGGGTCCTGTAGCACCTTTAAGACTAACAGAAGTATTGGCGCATAAGCTTTCATGGGTGAATGCCCACTTCATCAGTCGCAAGTAATGGAAATTTCCAGAGGCAGGTATAAATCAGTATGGAGATAACGAGGTTAGTTCAATCGGGAAAGGTGAGGTGCTCTGCTAGCAGTTGAGGTGTGAACACCAAGGGAGGAGAAGCTGCTTCTGTAGTTGGCTAGCCATTCACAGTCTTTGTTTAATCCTGAGCTGATGGTGTCAAATTTGCAAATGAACTGGAGCTCAGCAGTTTCTCTTTGGAGTCTGGTCCTGAAGTTT